TTAAGTGCTATGATTTCTAGGAGTTCTTTTAGCCTTATTCGAGACTTTTATGCCAATAGAAAAGAACTTCTAGTATTTTTATCTTTTAAATTTTTTTGTATAATGTTGGCCTGCGATAGTATTTAAGTGGAGAAACATGATCACTAAGGATTCATACAGTCAACCTTAACTTGTTTGGGACTGTATCGTCATTTGTTTGTAGCATCATCATGAATAAAATTAGTAGTATCTAGTCATATGGTTTTACAATTTATAATTAGTGTGGGTAAGACTTTTAAACATAAACCTTTGATATGATTTTTTATGCTTTTCTTTTTAGGTTTTTAAAAATAGTCAATCAAAATTAATACATGCTGCTCTTAAGAGCATGTAATCACGCACTTTATCCGACTAAGTAAAACAAATGACACATAAGCTCGGTCAACAATCAGAGGGATTTAAAAACAAGCTTTTAACGAATTCAGGTGCTTTAATGAAACCCCAGGGAGTAGGAGGGGCGGGATGTCAACACGAAACAGTAAATGTGTCAATTAGGCTATCTGGCCTTTCAAGAATGATCTTTTCTGCAAACTTCAGTTATAAGGCGGTGGATAGAGGAGCCATGCTCAAGTCTTACAAGTTTGGTTTGCCTTGTTTGATAAAAAGAATGATGTTAGTTTATTAAATGATAAATAGTGTTAAACTCTAGCGGAAACAGCCTCTTTATCTCACAAGGTAGGGGTAAGGTTTGCGTACACACTACCCTCCCCAAACTCCACTTGTGGGATTACACTGGGTAATGTTGTTGTCATGTTAATACTCTAATTGGGTGCATACAGAAGAAAAAGATGTATGTAGGCATAGGTGGTAGTAATTAATCAGGGATATATTTTGTATATAGGTGGTACTAATTAATTAGGAATATATTTTGGTCATGTTAGTACATTTATATTAAGTGCTATGATTTCTAGGAGTTCTTTTAGCCTTATTCGAGACTTTTATGCCAATAGAAAAGAACTTCTAGTATTTTTATCTTTTAAATTTTTTTGTATAATGTTGGCCTGCGATAGTATTTAAGTGGAGAAACATGATCACTAAGGATTCATACAGTCAACCTTAACTTGTTTGGGACTGTATCGTCATTTGTTTGTAGCATCATCATGAATAAAATTAGTAGTATCTAGTCATATGGTTTTACAATTTATAATTAGTGTGGGTAAGACTTTTAAACATAAACCTTTGATATGATTTTTTATGCTTTTCTTTTTAGGTTTTTAAAAATAGTCAATCAAAATTAATACATGCTGCTCTTAAGAGCATGTAATCACGCACTTTATCCGACTAAGTAAAACAAATGACACATAAGCTCGGTCAACAATCAGAGGGATTTAAAAACAAGCTTTTAACGAATTCAGGTGCTTTAATGAAACCCCAGGGAGTAGGAGGGGCGGGATGTCAACACGAAACAGTAAATGTGTCAATTAGGCTATCTGGCCTTTCAAGAATGATCTTTTCTGCAAACTTCAGTTATAAGGCGGTGGATAGAGGAGCCATGCTCAAGTCTTACAAGTTTGGTTTGCCTTGTTTGATAAAAAGAATGATGTTAGTTTATTAAATGATAAATAGTGTTAAACTCTAGCGGAAACAGCCTCTTTATCTCACAAGGTAGGGGTAAGGTTTGCGTACACACTACCCTCCCCAAACTCCACTTGTGGGATTACACTGGGTAATGTTGTTGTCATGTTAATACTCTAATTGGGTGCAAACTGCAAGTTGTACATAACTTTAGGACTTTGCAATCAACTTCTTTTCTTATCATTCTTTTTGGATATTAACTCTTAATTTTTTTTCTTGCATGTAGACATACTTGCAGTCTTTGACGTTGAGGGTCGAGGAATGGAGACTCAAGAGAAGAGATACCGAAGAGTGGATGGAGCATCGTCAACTTCCAGAAGATTTGAGAAAGCGGGTTAGACGTTTTGATCAGTATAAATGGGTTGCTACTAGAGGAGTAGATGAAGAGACAATTTTACATGGCCTGCCTACTGATCTTCGTCGTGACATCCAACGCCATCTTTGCCTGGACCTTGTCCGAAGGGTATGATTTTCCTTCATCTTGACTGATTCTTTCGGAAGTGTTTGGTATATTTATCAAAAAGCATATGCTCGAAGGGTGGCCTCTAAAAAGATGCACACTTATATTGTTGGTCTTTTTTCCGTTTCTTGAGTATGCTCTCAATATGCATCTCTATTACACCATCCTTTTTGGCCCTGATATCTTGCATATGTTTACCACTTTCAGATAAACACATTTTTATATTGAGTTAATGGTAAAAAACATAGCTGAAGTTTCATGTTTTTGCGAGTCTTCTACCTGAACGATCAAGTAATCACTTTTCCTACCTAAACTTTCACCAACTATTTATCTAAATACACCTCAACTATTAGTTGTTCCCTTTTCCTACCTGAAATATCACCATCATTCAGATTGGAAAAGGGAACAACTGGTCGTTGAAGTGTGTTTTGATAAATAGTTAGTGGTATAGTTCAGGTAGGAAAAGTGAACACCTTTCGATAGGAAACTCGCTAATATGTGATACTTCAGGTGTGTTTTTGACCATCATCTCTTTTATATTTTCTCACTTTTCGATCTGTATAGAACAGATGTTTGTTGATTCAGTTGTAATTATATAAACATTTGTTACAGATGCATTCTTTGTCGTTGTTGATTCCTTCTTGCATGTTAAGCTCATCTTGACTTATTTTGTTTTAACTATTTAGGTTCCATTTTTCTCCCAAATGGATGATCAATTACTTGATGCAATATGTGAACGTCTAGTCTCGTCCTTAAGCACAGAAGGCACTTATATTGTCCGTGAAGGAGATCCAGTCGCGGAAATGTTGTTTATCATCAGAGGTAGGCTCGAGAGTTCTACAACGAATGGTGGTCGGACTGGTTTCTTCAATTGCATTACATTGAGGCCTGGAGATTTTTGCGGAGAGGAGCTACTTGCTTGGGCTTTGCTTCCGAAATCAACGATCAACTTGCCTTCTTCGACCAGAACAGTCAAGGCGCTTGTTGAAGTAGAAGCATTCGCATTGAGAGCTGAAGATCTCAAGTTTGTTGCCAACCAATTTAGACGCCTTCATAGCAAGAAGCTCCAGCATACATTCCGGTTCTACTCTCACCATTGGCGCACATGGGCAGCCTGTTTCATTCAGGCTGCATGGAGACGACACAAGCGGAGAACAATGGCAAAAGATCTTGCAGCACTGGAATCATTTTCTCTGGATGAGAGTACGGTCGATGAAACAGAGCAAAATGAGGAACATGATCAAGGTAACGCTAGCTCAAATCCGTCCCCGAGAATATCACACCTCGGAGTCACAATATTGGCTTCAAGATTTGCTGCTAACACAAGAAGAGGAGCTCAAAAGCTTAAAGATGTAAGATTGCCTAAGTTACAGAAACCTGAAGAGCCTGACTTTTCAGCTGAGCCTGATGACTAGATTACGACTAATAGCTTCATTGAGATATCGATACGATGACCAACTCTGAGATTGAAGTTTTCTGCGATACATTCTTACACTCAGGATCATCGTTGTACATGTGGAAAACGCGTTTCTAAAAGAATGGTGTTGTAAGAGAGGGAGCTTTTGGCAAGGGAATGTGGTTTTTCTTTACCTTTTTGGTTAATGTAATTGTATTTAAGATTAGTATTTTCAGTAGCAGGATGCTAATATGTACTTATATATACTCAATAACATCTCAAGTCATTTGTAAAAACTTAGAGTTGCTAGTTCCATAGCACAAGTAAATAAGTATTTTCTCAAAAAAATTTACAATGCTTCATGTCCTTTTTTTCCCTCTATCTTGCTTCAAGGTACTTGGAATCTGATTTTGGTTATGCTTATAAATTTGTATC